GACCTGCTGGGTCCAGGACTGTCACGTTGGTGTAAAGAACCTGATTTGTGGAATAAAAGCACCAGATCTGCCAGGAGAAAGCTGCGCTCCTCTCCTTCATGAGCATTAAACCAAAATGGAACACAAAGCTGGCAACTTGCTTTCCTCTCTCTTGTCTCCATGACAAGGCACTGAATGCATGGGGGACCCTAAGCTCCAAATCAAAGATTAAATGAAAACATTTCTGTTATGAATACAGATAACCTGCTCCTGGGTTTTATTATTGCAGTGAGAAGCTTTTAAGCATAATTCTAAGAGTCATTTTAGAAGGGATACAAAAAACTTCCTTAAAATCTAACTTAATCTTGGAGCATTTCTGGATGGCAGCATCAGGCATTTATTTTCCTCGATAAACATCAGTATTTCCTCTCCAATCCAAACTCTTTTTTATTACTAGGAGAGACCACAAGCTCCTGTTAAACCAGCCACTGCCTCACTGCCCACTGCTTCACAGCGTCAAGGAAATTCTCCTTAAGCCCCAGGAACAGCTTCCAAGGCAAACCTCTTACTGCAGGCACCCTCCTGACTTACTGCGTGAAGCTTTCTGCTGGGCTTCCACTTCTCTTTGTTCAGCCCTTGCCAAGCAAGCCCATGCTTGCATGGGGAGGATATTCTTGTGCCATCATCTCTCATGGGCTCATATCCCCACTCACCAGGCTCCCCTGGCAACCTGCTTTGTGCACAGGATACACCTGAGGTCAATTTAAGCACCTTTCCAAGCAACACCCAGGCATACTGTGTGTGCCCACAGATGTCCTGACCTGAGTTTTGAACATCAACCAAAGTCAGACAGCGGTGTCCTTGCTTAACAGTGAAGCCATTCCCTGCAGCATCAGGCTGAACACTGCAAGCTTTTCTTGTTTTAGGAAAGGATAAAATACTTACAAATAAAAGACATAATACATGGTGCTGCAGGTTTATCTGAGAAGGGTGCATTGTGCTGGTAGAGCATGCACCATCAGAAGCACTCCTCCAGCTTTATGTCAGTGCTCAACCCAGTGACAAAAAGCAGCTGTTTCTCGCCATTTAGCTGTGTGTCACACTGCATCAGGATCTTCAGAAAGAGATGTGGAGACCAAGCATTAGAGCAGCTGCCTGTGACCAGAGCTCTGCTAAAGTTCTTAAATGGGAAATACATTCAGAGTCCTCCTTTCGTGTCCAGCCTCCGGATTGTGATCTGGAAAACCTGTCTTTTCTGACCTTACTTGAAGGAATTGGAAAGGGTTGGTGGGCTGCCTTGTGGAAAATAGATAGAAATCAATAATAAAAATAGGTTTGGCTCTCCTCAAGGTGCACCACTCACAAGCCATCATCCACCATCCACCCTGGGTGTCTTCTGACATTGGGATTGTGGATGAAGGTGTAAAGAAACTGGGAATTAGTGTGGGGATAAACGACCCTGGTAGCTGGCTGCCAATGAGTTTCAGTGCCTCTTCTTGGGAGCCTAAAATTCACACGATGCAAAATGCAGCTCCTCTTTCATCTCCATCCCTGCACACACGTGCAAACCTAGTTAAGTCAAGAGAGGCATTTTTAAAATCACAGGCTAATCTTAACATGTTCATAGGCTGGAAGGATCACTCTGAAACAACCCAGGCTGCAGAGGAGTTGTCCTTTCCACAGATGCTTTCTCAGTTAATATAAAAGATAAATCTATTTACTAAAAGATTGGATTGGGGCAATCGCAAGCACAAACACAGGCTGGGCAGAGAATGGATGGAGAGCAGCCCTTAGGAGAGCAGCAGGGGGGTGGAACTAGATGAGCTTTAAGGTCCCTTCCAATGCAAACCAGTCTGTGACTCTATGATCCTGTGATTCAATGACTTGGCAGTCCATGCCAGGCTTTTGCACAGCACTTTATTTTTGCCCAAAGTTTCCTTACAGAAATTGTTTTATTGTCTTTTCACAGAACGTGAGAGAAGGCAGCATCAAATGTTCTTGTGCTACCCACACTGTTTACATGTAATTTTACTTTAAAATGCATTACTAGTTTATGCACTTTGTCAGAAGGCTACATGGCATCACAGGGGTAAGTAGGTGTGAACCCCCTGTCTCTTGCATAAAGTGTAAGTTACCCGTGGTGATAACAGGAATACACTGGCAGCAGCATTGAGACCGACAATGAAATCTGTTACTGCGATGATAGAGACTGAGAGCTTCTCCAGGTCTTTCCACAAGACTTTCCAATTATAAGTGGAACAGAGCATGTCTTGAGATGCTAACCCCATGCTGCATGACAGATTAGTAAAACATGTCAGGAAACTAATTTGAAATGGACTCAGGCACTCACATTGGCCCTTTTGCCATCAAGAGAGCTGAATCAGAAGCATAGATACACTACACTAGGGTGAAGAAAGCCCCACAATCATGGAAAATTTTCAATAGGGACATGGTAAGACCTCAAAATCGACTCTGAAATATGTCTAAGTTTGTGTATCCTTTTCAAATCTTGGGAGAACAGATGCGGATTTGGATGTTAGTGGGAGCCAATTTTGTGGTAAAAACTAAACCAGAGGGAGAATTAGTAATACACGGACATCTGTTGAAATTGGGATCACATTCTACTCCCATTCCAGACCTTAATCCCGATGAGATGGCAAGTGAACCAGGAAGAAGATGGGGAGGAAAGAAGTAAGAAATGAAAGACAAATTGAAACGGACCAATTGATCTATTTACCAAGAAAAAACCCAGGGTGAAAATCTGATGTTAGGATTAATGAAAGAGTTTGCTAATTTGCACATGTCACAAATGACTGCTTGTTTTCCAATTCCAAGAGCAGTGGGTGAATCACTCCCGTGGGGAATTTTAACTGTGAATCCGACAATTTAAAGAAAACATGAAACCACACCTTGTGAACAAAAACCTGTGGCTGCATGGCAACACCAAGCGGAAACCATTTGGGAACAATGGAAATCCTCAGGTAGTGGAGCTGACTGTGAGAAATTGTTATGTGTTTTCCAAAACAGGGAGATCTAAGACTCATCATAGTGTTTCTATGATGAACAAAGAAAGACAAATGGGAGTCAAATGATCATGGAACGGAAATGCAATGAGACAAGTCCAATACAAAAGAGCGAGGCAAACTGCGTCTCTGTTTGGGGGACTATGGCCATTTTATCTCCATTTGAATACATGGCTAAGGCACCTTGGTGTTTTATTTGGGGTGGAATGACTTTTGCAACCTGGACAAATGTAAAGGATAGGAGTAGTTAATGGCGAGAAAAGGAAAAGTGAGTGTCTTGGTGGAAGTGTAAAAAGGTATCTAATTGTAATAGCACTGATATGGCGATCCAGGCTAGTCCTCCTTTAGCTGCGCCTTTAAAATATGGATGCTTGTGTAGGGGCCTTAGGAATGACTTTAAATTGACTGAGACATACATACCCAAAAGAGAAGCAGTACTTCGTTGCAAAGAAATCTGCACTCCGGAGCCCAGGACACTTAGTGTGGACAATGAGGGATGAGACCTGGACAACTCATTTCCTCTAGATGGTAAAGGAAGACAACATGAGGCATGACAACTCCATGTTCAATCTGGAAGAGAACTCCGCTTAGAAGAGCATTATGAAATTCAAATTGGAACGGGTGAAGAGGTCAGAAATAGATGAAGAATGGAACGAACCTTCAACTGGAGTGAAAGCTGGTTGGGCTCTGGAGTCTTTGTTGACTCCTTTGGCAATACAGGAGAACAGGGAATGCATCTGTCAACTAACAGGACAAGTAGAAAGGCTAGCAAATGCAACCAGTAAAGGATTTAAGGATTTGAATTTACAATTACAGGAAACTTCAAGGATGGCTCTACAAAACAGAATGGCTTTGGATATGCTCTTAAAGAGCATGGGGTTGTATAGAAACATAGAATTGATCCCTGCTGTATACACATTCTGAATGTGACTCAAGATGTGGAGCATGACTTAGACTTCTTGGAAAAGGTAGAAGAGAATACTAAAAGCTTCAATAGGACATACAAGAAAGCTGGAGAGATAAATCTTCAAGGGGTTAGAATGGAATTTGAGTTCATGGATAAAATCACTGATTAGCACTGCATTAGCCATGTTGATAATCTTTTTAATAATTACTTTGATCTACTATTGCTTAAAATACAGAGCAACACTGCATTTAATGGCATGACAATCCAAGCAGTGGCCAGGCAACATGACAGACAAAAATCAATTCCGAAGACCCCTGCTAACATACAATGAATGATTCCCACCACCAAGTAATAAAAATAAATATTATGTTAGAATAAAGTTATAAATATATAACATATAATTATACAAAAATATAAATGTTAGAATGAAAGTACTGGAATGATTTTAGAAACTTTGCAAGGGAGGGGAACGCCAAGCAGGGTCGGGCTCGGTTAGTACTTGGATGGGAGACCGTCTGCGAATCCCGGGTGCTGCAGGCTTTTAGGGTGCTGCAGCCGATAGGGGATCCTGCGAGCAATGCCAGTCCCTTTTTGTTGGCGGGGTGGTGCAGATGGTGAGGTTCCCGGGGGTCCGCCTTGCCTCGCCCCGCTTTGCCTTCCCGTTTCTTCTTCAATCCCAACACATCCTGGCTCTTCAGCCTCACCCACAGCGCGAGTCTCCAGCCCCCGCCGGTTTTGCTTGCTCTAAGCCTGAAACAGGGAGTCCGAAACAGGCAGCCCCAAACCACACCGAGTACCTAGATGTGACCAAGCACCTCAAGGTGCTTAAGAGTCCCAAACCAAGGATGAGGGGGGGATTCGCCTCCTGGACCTCCACGCTCTCGGGATGTGACACCTGCGCAGCACCTTCCGTGCATGAACCCTCGTTATGCTGTAAAGGCAACGCGGTCCCTGCTTTCCAGGGCCAGCCCGACACACAGAGCCCTGCCCCCTGTTCCCAACCAACCCTCTTCCCTCTTCCTCCTCTTCACCCCCCGATACCGCCGCCAATACACCTCCCATGCTCCCCCGCGCCCCCCGGCAGCCCTCGCGCGGGGCAGGAAGCGGAAGCGGAAGCGGGGCGGCCAAGGCGACGTGTGAGCCATGGCGGGGACACTGGAGCCGCATCTGGAGGCGCTGCGGCGGGAGCTGCTGGCGCCCGATCCCACCGTGCTCTCCGTCCTCCTGGCGCTGATCGCCGTTATCGTCACGCTCCGTGAGTGACGGACCCCGCGGGTCTGTGTACCCCGCGCCCTGTGGGCCTGCCCGGGAGCACCCGGCTGAGGCAGCGGCTGGCTGAGGTGCTCTGTCCTCTCTCCTGCAGTGATCTGGAGGCTGGTGCAGGGCAGGAGGAGCAGCCGGAAGGCGGTGCTGCTGCTGGGCCTCTGCGACGCGGGGAAGACGCTGCTTTTCGCGAGGGTGAGCTGGGAATGGGGTGCTGGGAGCTGCTGCAGATGGAGCCTCAGGCGGGGAACTGCCCACCTGGAGCAGGCGGAGCTGAAAGATTGGGAGGCAGTCTTCCTTCTGGGCTTAGCAGTCATAGAATGGTTTGGATTGGAAAGGATTTCAAGATCATGCAGTTCCAGCCCCCTGCCATGGGCAGGGACACCTTCCACCAGACCATGTCACCCGAGGCTTTGTCCAACCCAGTCTGTAACACTGCCAGGAATGGAGCATTTGCCACTTCTTTGGACAACCTGTTCCACTGGTTCACCATATTTGCAGTAAAGAACTTCTTCCTTATATCTAACCTGAATTTCCTCTGTTTGAGTTTGAAACCATCACCCCTTACCCTGTGACTGCAGTCCCTGATGAAGAGTCCCTGTCCAGTGTCCTTATAGGCCCCCTTCAGATATTGGAAGGCTGCTATGAGGTCTCCACGCAGCCTTCTCTTCTCCATGTCTGACAGGCCCAAATCTTACAAGCCTGTGTTCATATGGGAGTTGCCACAGTCCCCTGATCATCCTCCTGGCCTTCCTCTGGACTTGCTCCAACAGCTCAATGTCTTCTTATGTTGAGGACACCAGAACTGTACACAATATATTTTATGTTTTTCTTTTAATGAGTGTTTTTTGGAGAAAAAAAACCACAAACCCAAACCTGAAACTGTTTCATGCACATAAATTGAAATGGATGTCTCAAGATACCAATGGATATCTCAAGCCCCTTACAGATCGTTTCAGTTTCTGAGTGGATGGAACACGGTGCCAGTGTTCCTTTGGCCTCCTTCTCCTAAAATGACTTTTTTTTCCCCACAGCTGTTGACGGGAAGATACCGGGATACCCAGACTTCGATAACTGACAGCTCTGCAGTTTACAGAGTCAGCAACGACAAGGTGAGCAGGCAGGTTTCTGGCTGTAACTTCTGAAGGGTTGCTACAGCAACCGGTGTCTGTCTTTTTCTGGTATCTGTGGTAAACCTGGTTTGATGGGTTTTGTGCTGCTCAGTCTTCCCAGCTCGAAATCAGTCTCAGGTTTGGTCTGAGTGTAGGATAGGATTTTTCTGGGTGATCAGAGCAGAGAAGGCAGGAAAATACCAGGAGGTATTAGGGGCTCCTCAGCTCTGCAGGTGCTTTTTAATTTGCTTGTCAAATTGTGACATTTGACTGAAAACCAGGTCTGTGTATCATGTTTTGAAAGGGGGGCAGTGTGTGGTGGTTTTTCCTGTAGAAGAGGAAAAGGAGCTACTTTTTCAAGTGGAATGAAACATGCAGCTCTGTGAGGACAGTGTTGTGCTTTGGAGCAGAAGGGAGATGTGTGAGGGAACATTTTTCTGTCATATTTGGTTGGTTTACTTGGCAGTAATTTCAGTTTCTTCCAAGAAAATCTGAAATTAAAAGCAGGCTTAAAAAGAACCTACCAGTTGAACTTCACGTAGTCTCAAAATTTCAGGTGCTGGACTGCTACAGACTTAATCAGTTTCAGTTTATGGCAATTTCTTTCATTTCAGAAGTGTTTCTTGCACTGGGTGCACATGTGGCAGTGAAAGCAGCAAGTTGGCAGCACGATACGTGCTGGGGAATTGAAGCAGAGGATGGTTTTGTGGCTTCTCTATGGCAGTCTTCAGTAATAGTGTTGATAATAAGAGGCTAAAAATTTAGTGAAGGGAAGTACAGGGTAATTTTTGTGTCCCTAAGATTGAGCAGATAAGTATTTAGAGGGGGAGAGGAAGGAGAATGCTGTAAGGTGGACTGCTGCTTTCCTGATTATTAGTATTTTTTAAATGGTAGACAAGGTTTCCATTACAATCAGAGCAGTGGGTAGGTGGGCTCTTGGGTAGTGTTCTCTTCCCGTCTTGAGAATGATGAGCATCATCTTGAGAATAGTGACATGATCCTACTTGGCTCCATCTTGATCAGGAGTGTGAGAGGCATTTGTGCTCTTAAATGTCCTTGCTGTGGCTGACATGCTGTGGAAAGGGAAACACTTGCAGCTTTCAATTTAAACAATCTATTGCAAGGGCATTTTTGTGTTATTCCCAGTAAAGTTTTGTGTGTTTAGGTAGACTTGCGGTAGGGTTGGTGGTGTGCATGAAAGGATAACTTGATTAAGAGGCTGTAAGATCAGTATTCTGTACTGGGGACTTGCAGGACAAGAGTTCATGATTTTGCTGTGCAAAGATCTATATGCTGTCACTCCAGGGATGGTGTAAATCTGCTGGTGTACTGATGAAGCTTTAGCACTCACACTGCATGCATTGTAGTTGTAGTGGGGTTGAGCATTATCTTTCCTCTGCGGCATGCTCTGTCCTCTCAGCAACGGTGAATAGTTTGCTGGTATTGGTGCCCTCCTTACTGAGTCCTGGCTGTGAATGTTGTTCCTCAGCATCTTTTTTGCCTGTCAGAACTGGGCTGGTTGTGTGTGTATGTGAACCATACATGGTTTCATAATGGGATGAGTTATGTGCTTCTGCCTGGTATAGGGATTCACTCATCCACTGCTGCCTCAACACCGGGCTAACTGGAATCCACTAGCAGACTGTTTTTCCCCAGTCTGTGATCACTGGGTGTCTAGGTGCCCCTAGATTAGGTGTTGTTAATGCCTTCTTGCTTTTGTCCTCAGAGTGCTAACGTCACCTTAATAGACCTTCCAGGCCATGAGAGTTTGCGGCTTCAGTTCTTGGAGAGATTCAAGGCTGCAGCCAGGTAACTTGGAGGAGATTGGCGGGAAAGGAGGGGGCAGGTAATGTTTTGGAAAGGGATGGAAAATGATGGTGCAGGGAATGCTGTGAGCTGGACGGGATTCCCTCTGTGTGGTGGTGCCCTGAGGGACAGAGCTTTGTGATGGGGTAGCAAGGCTTAGTTATTGTTCTGCTTTCCCACTTACCTGTGTCTGTAGTGCATCAGGAGGCAAAGCAACTGCAGTGGGGAGTTTAGGGGATGTGGTATATTCCTGGGGCAGAGAGGAGAAGATTTTCTGCTGGGGCTGGACATGGGGTGCATTTCAAGACAGCAGCTAACCTGCTCTTGGGTTGGATGAGATACTATGTGGAAACAAAAACCTTCGCTCAGGCTGAAATACGTGTAGGGGAAGATGGTTGCAGAACTTCACACCCAGCACATGTTCTTCCCTCTTTCCTCCAGAGCCATCGTGTTTGTGGTGGATAGTGTGGCCTTTCAGCGGGAGGTGAAGGATGTGGCAGAGTTCCTGTACCAGGTCCTAGTTGATAGCACTGTGCTCAAAAATGCACCCGCGCTCCTGATCGCTTGCAATAAACAAGGTATGTGTGCTGCCTTGTAGGCTGGACATTGAATTCAGGCCTTGAATTGAATGAACCTTAGGGATTCATGCCATAGATGATGAATTTCTGAGGAGTTGGGATTTCAGCAAAATGAAGGCTGGAACTTAGTTTTAAACTTGGACTACTCAGTAGGAACATTTCTACCAACCACTGGAAGAATTTTTAGGCCAGGTATATCTTAATAGCTTTGCAGAGAAGCACCACTTGGGAGAGCTACAGCTTTTTAGATGAGCTGAAATAAGGCAGGTGGCTTACTGCTTGTACAGAACTTACTGTCTTCCTGAATCAGCAGGCAGCTGAAAATGGGATTAATTTGCACATAATGAATTATTTATACACACTTCATCGTTTCAGTGTTAAAATCATACAGCCATTTAGCTGGTGAGATTGTATATTATTTTCTCTTGGTTGGGCTATCAGGAACATCCAGTTACTGGAAAGGACTAGATTTTCAGATCCTTACGGCTTTTACAGTGGAGATGTGAATCCCTGTATAACAGTCTGAAGCTTTTGGGCACTATCAGGTTTGGTTTTCTTGGTTATTTCGTGCACTACTTCACAAGTTTCCTGAGGCCTTCATGGCTCCACATGCCATAGGTTAAAAAATACTCTGTTGAGATCTGTAATGCCAGGACAGGTTAGGGTGCTGGGCTTGTCGTTGTGACATCAAACCCCGTCCTTTCTTTGAATCTACTTACTGCCCAGCAAGAATAGATTAATTCCCTGCATTATATCAGGATTTTATGTTGCTCCCATTCACATCTGCAAACCCAAGCTCTGGCATCCCATATCCTAGTACAGACACAGACATTGTTGTCCTGGTAGCTCTTAGGAATGCAGTGTAAGTGTGCCTTACTGTGCCTTTAGGAAGAGGTACCAGGTTCTGATTTCACACATAAAACCAAAGAGATGATTTCCTTTTCTTTTCTCTGTCTAGATGTCACAATGGCAAAATCAGCAAAACTTATTCAACAGCAGCTGGAAAAAGAGCTGTAAGTATGAAACTGGATCTAAACCTTGTGAGCTTCTCTCTTCTTTCTGTTTTTTACCTCAGGGCTCAGTGAGCTCCCTTTTAAGCTGCATCTAAGTTCATTGTAGAAAATGAGCAGTCTATTTTGTCTTATTTAGGTGTAACCAGGATGAGAGAAGATTGCTCTTTGTTAAATCATGCAAAAAAACAGTAGGCATTGACAGTGTATGGCCTCCTAAAAGCTGTGGGTTGGAGAAACAACATCCCAGTCCTTTCCTAAAAGCTGCCATATCTAATTCAGCAATACTTTCCGTGCCTAGGGCGCTGTCCCCTTTCAGGTTCAGCCAGAGTTGGCTTTCAGATGTCAGACTTCCTGTGAGTGGTGTGAAGATATCAGTAGCTCTGCTCAGCTGTACTGACATGGGTTGGGTTTTTTTATAAGGCTGCTCTGACTCAAAAGGGCTTGGCATGCAAAGCAGAGAGCTGGGGAGAGAGTCTCTAGTTTTCCTGTTCTAACAGGCATTGCAGGAGTCTGGGAGCCCATGTTGGTTCTGTATCCATCCTCTAGGAAGGACGTTAACCTGGGAAGAATGATGTATGATCTATTGCTAATTTCAAGTTCTTAAAAGAAGTGGAAGGAGGAGAAAGTGGCTTATAGACTGTGCTATATTGTAAGCTGCCTCTCTGCAGCTGTACCTTCTAGCAGGTACTTAAAAGAAGCGGCCAAAATGCTTGCCTCTGCCTGTGCCTCGCAGGATAGAGCCATGAGGCCTTCTACCCTTGGTGTAACTGGCATCCTGCTGACAGAGCTGGGTACAAAACATCTCAGCAGCCATGGTGTAGCTAATGTTTCCCTGGTTCACAGTTCTTGACACTCTTCCCTTTTCTGTCTGCAGCAACACCTTACGAGTGACCCGCTCTGCAGCCCCCACAAGTCTGGATGGCTCAGCCATTGGAGGCCCTGCCCAGCTGGGGAAGAAGGGCAAGGACTTCGACTTCTCCCAGCTACCCATGAAGGTGGAATTCGTGGAGTGCAGTGCTCGGGGCAGCAAGGGAGAGGAGGGAGATGCTGACTTTGAGGGTCTGGAGAAATGGCTGGCCAAGATCGCCTGAACGGAGAAGAGCAAGGCTGGAGGGGAGAGACTTGGAGAGGCAGGACACTTGGGCACTGAAAGGAAAAAGAGGGCCTGAAGGACTCAAATCTGTTCTTGCTTTAGAAAGAGAAAACTTAACCTGGAAATCAGCATTGTGGTAACTTCCTCTGCTGCTCAAGGGCTTGTGAGCAACATGACACAATTGCTGGTGTGATTTCCTCTGTCTCCATACTGCAGCATTTTTCTTCTCTCCCCTCTTCCTTTGTCTTGCTCTGGGATGCTGACTGGGCTTCTGTGTTTCGTTAATCTTTAGTCTTTCATTTGGTAGTTGCCAAGCAAATTAGGAAGGAGTGCATTGCCAGATGAGTTTTACAGATTGGAGTCTGCTTATTTTCTTCTTACTTCGTTTAGCATTGTGACCCTGCTGCCTCTTGGAGCTGCCAATCACCTCCTGATTCAGAATTCCCTCCCCAGCCTCTCACTGCTTAGAAGCACTGTACACATTGCCTATGCTGTCCTGGCAAAGGCACAGACTCTCAGTTAGGCAATCATTGGGTATAAAATGATGTTTTCCTCTGTGTCTGCTACCTTGCTGTTCTTCAAAAATGGTGCAGTTCCATTTCTGTGGGAGTGGAGTGGCCTATCAGATACCACAGCAAGGCTGGCAGCTCTGCCTTTGTCACTGTGCTCTGCCTGTGTCCAGCTGCGGTGCCCATATCTTCAGGTGATTTCCACTCTTGGACAGTTCTGGGGAGTTTAATGAGAGCTGTGTCCTAAAAGCTTGTTTCACTCTGCTTCTCCTCCTCTTACTTCAGACATGTATGCACACCCTCCAAGTGGCAGAGTTTATAGTAGGGTCTGAGCTTGTAATCATGAGATGGGCAAGTTTTCACATTCATACTTCCAGTACTTGTGAGATGTGGCATGACAGGCATTTGCTGTGCAGTCCCCTGCCTATCTGCTGCTCCATTGACAGCATCAAGATCTTTTCTTGCGTGTAATTAGTCAGCAGTCATGGCAAAGAGAGCGAAAGTCAAGGAGCTGCTAGGGAGGCAGTGTGATTCTTTCTCCTGAGGAAGATGCTCAATAAAAAGGGGAAAGAAATGTTTTTCTCAGTTAATTTTCATTTGTCTCTGGTGTTTAAAACCAAAGTGGCTGCTTGCAAGGAAGATTCATGGAATGCCTGTAGCTGTCTTGATGGCTCTGGAGGCTGCTTGGAGCACTGGAGGGCTCTCATTCAGCATGCTTGTGAACTGTCCAAGAGACATTTGCACTCCTACTTCTCATGCTTCCATGAGGAGCATTGGCTATACAAAGGGAGATCTTCCCACAGCAGTGGTGGTAGTCAGATGTGAGACAAGAGCCTGGTGCTGTTCATTCAGCTTCCTCTTCTTGATCAGCCTTAAAACACAGTTGCCTTGCCCAGCAGCTTCACAGCGCTTTCTGCTCTGATGTGTCATTTCTGTTCTGCACCTATGTGAGGATGATTGCTCTCCACACTGTGAGGTCCTATGGCATTGGCACACCCCCTTTGTTCTTGATGCAACCCCTTTTAGGGTAGGAAAGAGTGGATGGCTCCTGGTAGATTCTTTTTGTCCTTTGTGGGTTCCTCTGCTCTGTTTTGATGCTCCCTTCATCACTCAACTGATCTATTGTGTTCATTTGCTTTCTGGGGAATTCTCTGCCTCACTGTAGCATTGTCAAGTGTTAGGAGTGTTGGGAAGAGCAAAAACAGTCTTCAGCAAAGACTTGTGCTTGTAACAAAGCATTTCTAGTCTTTTGAACCCAGTGACTCTTCTGCTATCCTTGCAGGAGATGGGGAGGGTTATATTTACAAACTATGTTGTATTTCCTGCAGCCAGAATATTGTTGGAACATGTTTGTCATGCTTTGAACTCCTTTAGCTGGAGATCCTTTTTAGACCGCCTGCTTTGAATTCATGATGCTGAAGTGACATTATTGCTGTTTCTTTGAGTAGTTACTTTGCTTGCAAAGAAAGACCTGCATCCTTGAAAAGCAGAGGCCAAGCACCAGCCTCTGCTTGAGTGAAGTGGGAAGGTAGCATGAGGCCATGATTGCTTTTAAGTTATTAAAAATATTCCTTAAACTTTTTTGTTCTTAAGTGTTTGTTCTCAAGACTTGTTTTTGTCTGTATTTGCCTTGATTATTCTCAGCTGTGTCAAATCTGCGTGGATTGGGGCTTTCCTTCTGCTCAGCATTGATGATATTGGAGACGAACTTCCTGCTTGGTAGCCAGGTCTGTTACCAAAAAACTGCATTATCCACACACAGAGCTTTAGATTTGTCTTTTTTTGGGGTGTGTATTTAGTCTGAATGTTAGATGGTTGGTCTGTGTGGTGCTGTCAGCGTGCTGGGGGGCAGGGGTGGGATCCAGAGAGACATTGATAGGCTGGAGAGGTGGGACCATGTGAATCTCATTGAGTTCAACAAGGCCAAGGGCAAGGTCTTGCATCTGGGTCAGGGTAATCCCAAACGCAGACACAAGCTGGGTGGAGCAGCCCTGAGGAGAAGGACTTGGGGGTGTGGGTTGAGAAGCTCCCCATGTCGCCTCATGCCTGCAAATGGTGTAGGCAGGGTGGAGAGGGCTGGGAGCTGGCACAGCCTGCCTGCTCTCTACAGCCCCCCCATCCCTTGTGGAGTTACGTGAAGGAACACATGCCGCATCTGCTATCGTTTCTTTACCTTGGCCAGTGAGGAATGCACTCAGCATCTGCCAGGATGTGACCGGCAGACACCCCCACCACTGGGGACAACTCTCAGGGCACGGGGGTGTGACCAGCAAAGCACCACAGTTGGAAAAGTGACCTTTATTTAGAAAAAAATATATATATAATAAAGAGCAACAAACCCCCCTCTTCCCCCTCCGTAAACCCCTGGTGATAACTTCACATAACTTCACGTGTGCAGTGTCCACATTGACCTCTGCAAGGGGTGCGGGCAGGGAGGGACACGGGGCAGACTCGGGGTTGGCAGTTGTCTCCCCTGCTCCCACCCCAGCCAGGAGGGCATTACCTGGCTGGAAAACATCACACCAGAGTGGGGACCATTGCCCACAGCAGGCACTTCTCTGAGTATATAGAATAGGGCTGTGATCCAGTCCCCATCTGCCTCCTCTTCCAAAGTGATGGGCAAGGTGCAGCTGGAGAGCCTGGGAGAAGCTGGTCCCAGGATGGGGCTGGCATAGAGCATCCCTCGCTGGGAGGATGGCCCTGTCATGGGCTGCAGGAGAGGAGCTCAGAGCTGCTAAGGTGAAGTTGCTCCCTTAGGAGGAAAAACCCAAAAGAGACAAAGAACTGGCAGTGGGTAATGGGAGGTGTGGAGTCAGTCCTCGGGTGGGTTACACCAGCCCTGCTGCCTTCTCCTGCACGTTGTACTCTTTACTCCTCTTCACCTTCCAGCTGATGAGGGCCAGGAGGATAGTGCCCACCACCTTGTAGCCTATCTGCAGGCCCAGGTATCTGTTAGAAGAAGAGCAGGGAGATGCCATGTCTGGAGGTGGCACCTCCCAGCTGGCACCAGGCTGAGCTGGGGATCATCCCCATGGCCATCCCTGCTGGGGACATGTGGCAGGGGTACCTGTTGCGGAGGAAGTCGTTGTTGTAGTAGGCACAGAACCGGCGCTGGGTGCACTGCTTCTGCCAGTAGATGCAGGAGGAGTCGATGAGGGCACCGAACATGGCTGGAGCTGGCAGCCAGGCTTTGGAGAAGAGAGGATGGAGTCAGGCTGCCCATGCTGCCCCTGCCTGCGGGCTTTGCTTGCTGTCACCAAGAGGGTTCAACACCTCTGGGGCTCAAGCAAGCCTCTGAGCATGCTGCTGCCTTTCCCCAGCCTCCTTAGGCTATGGACACTCACCCAGCAATCTCATTAGTAAGAACTGGACTCCAATGGCAAATGATTTCTCATCCTGGTTCACCACCCTGGAGGAGAGAAGCCATGGGAGGTCAGAGCAGGCGGTGGCTCTGCATTTAGTGAAGCAGCTTTATTTGCCTGTTGCATGTTAAAGAGGCCCCATTGATCCCAGCATGGGGAACCCATTACATCATGGGTTCCCCCTGTGCCTTGTGACCTTCTCTGCCCATTGCTTACCTTAAAACCATCATGTAGAGGGGGTTGTGGGACAGGCAGGCTACCAGGGCAGCAAAGGAGATGAGGAATATGGCAGGAAGGAGCATGTGAGAACAGCTGAGAGGACAGGAGCCTGTCTTGGCAGAGGACAGCCCACTCCCTGCAGGGATCAGGGAACAGTTCCTGTAGATCTGTTGGAAACATTTGGAAAAAAAAACCAAAACATAGAACTCCAAAAGCCAAGAACAAGAGTTTTAGTGATGTACCAGACCCCATCACTTTGCAGAACGCTGACAAGAGTGTCAGATCCGATTTTAAGGCATGGCCATGGGATCCTGCAATGGGATGTGTCTCCATCCCTATTTCTCCAAGCAAAACCCCAGGGCATGAAAGCCGTTCTCTATTGTGCCTTCTCAAGACCACAGCTCCTCTGGTAGATCTCCCTGCCTACTAGGCTTTACCCTGTTACTGCTTTTGTCAGGTTCCTATGGCATCGCTGCAGCCTCCACTGCCACCAGTGAGCATGATGCACTCTGCTTTGCAAACCACTTATTTTACTCACCACTTGTTTGGGAGTGGAGGAATCAGTGGTGCTGTTTGTGCAGCCAGCGAAGCAGGGGGAGATGTACTCCACATTGTTTTCTCCACACACTGGGTGAAAGATGTGCTCAGAGCAGTGGCACCCTGTCGGCGTCTTAACCTGCTGCTGGGAACTCAATGTACTGCCAAAAAAGAGGAGAAAAAGAAGATCATAAAAAAAATGAAGAAATAGGACATAAAGGACGTAAAATCCCTCTCACTGGCTGACCAGGTTCCCTGATCCTATTTGTGCTGGGACACTGCCAGCAGCAGGCTGGCCTTCTGCCAGGCCCTGATCCCCTGCAGGTACCTCTGCAAGTGTACATTGAACTTCTTAGCGGTAATTATGTTATGTCTGTGAACAAGCACTCACACAGTTCTTATTTCCCCCCTTCCCAGCTGAAAACCAAACAGCCAAATGCCTGGAGAAATACATCTGGGCTCCATCCAGAACTGCACAAACAGATGTGCAAGCAGCCCCAGCTGGAAACACCATTCAGACAGAAACTGGAAGCGGGCTCATTTCCAAACAAGCCCGACAACAGCGTGAAATTCAAGAGGACAAACTGAATTATCTGTCCTGTCTTGCCTTACTAGCTAAGGGAACGCATCCGCTGGAGCAGCACAGTCTGTCTTCTACAGGAAGCTGGCATCAGGGACCTGCCCTTGGGCATGGAGGGATGGGGCAGAGCTCATGTTAACCCATCCACATAGTCCTCAGCTACCTGGGGATCCAGGCAAAAGGCATTTTATGCACTGCTGCCATTGCAGGGGGGGAGGTTTCCAAAATAATATAAGGAAACAACCTCTTTTTCCATGCAACTGCCTTCTTGTTACACCAGCAAAACTTATTCAGACTAGTGAGTCCCAGAGGAACTAAGACACTGACACAGGTGGCAAGAGGTGAACACTGTAAGGCCAACATGCCTCCCAAAATTCAGCATCTGCAGCACCTGATCTTGAGCTGAGGGGTCTCCCCACATTTGAAGCCCTGCTCTCACATGGGAAGCTTGAGATGACAGTGCCTCAGGGGTTTCCATATCCTCCTGAGTTCACGGGGCATGCCATGCGGATCTCAGAGCATGTATGCATTTGCAGAGTGCTTTGCTTTCCTTCACCATGGCTATTTAAGTGGTTTTTAAGTGGGAGAAGCACATGGACTGCCCTGTTCCTCACCCCCCCACCATGCCCCTGGGACAGGAGGCTTATTGCTGGCGAAGGGAAACATCTGTACAAAAGCCCCTTGCTGGCAGTGCATTGGGAAATGAGCGTGATGCACTTGGTGGAGTGGAGTCTAATTCTGGGGTGGAGCCTAAACGCAATAGTTATCTTAAAAAAAGACATGGTAAGAGCCAAGTTTCCACCCTGGTGAGCAGAAAGGTGATGTCCAGCTGGAACAAAGGGAATGCACAAGATGCCAATGCGGACATGAGCACTAATACCACTTATTTCTCCCTAGAAAGACAGAGTGGAAAATAAACCCTGCTTGGTCAGTACAGAAAATCAGGTGTTTTGTTTTGGTGTGTTGTTGTTGGGTGTGGGCATGAGTAGCATGGTGATGTCTACTGCTTCTTCCCATCCACTGGCGTGTATCCCACCCCATGGATAAACAGGTCAAGAGCTGGAGGAACAATGAGCTAAGAACAACCGAATGACCCGCAGTTACCTGGGGGGATAGATCCCATCGATGCGCCCTGTGGAGCAGCCCATGAAGAAAATGGGCAGGCAGATGAGGATGGAGAAGACAAGCACCACCACAGCAAACCGGGGAATGGCCCGGAGGGAGAAGGCAAAGCGCTTCATGATGATTCCTCCTAAAAGCATCCCGAGTGCTGCTGCTGGCAGGTTCACAGCTCCTGCCGAAGAACAAAGGCATTAGCTGAGGGGCCTCCCTGCCAAGCACCTCTCTGTGGGCAGTGGGTGGCAGTAGTGGCTTTGTGGACATCGTGGTGGTTGGGAGAACCCGCAGACCCACCTTTACCCACAATAGACCAAACCCCAAGGCGGCTGGCACCTATGAGAAATCAGCCTCAGGAACTTGGCTAATCAAGCTGGGTGTGTAATCGCTTGCTCTTGCAACATCAATACCTAAAGGGGGCCTACAAGAAGTCTGGAGAGAGACTTTTACAAAGGCCTGTTGTGACAGGACAAGGGGGAATGGCTATAAACTGAAAGAGGAGAGATTCAGGTTAGATATGAGGAAGAAGCTTTTCCCTGTGAGGGTGCTGAGGCGCTGGCACAGGGTGCCCAGAGAAGCTGTGGCTGCCCCATCCCTGGCAGTTCTCAAGGCCAGGTTGGACAGGGCTTGAAGCAACCTGGTCTAGTGGCAGGTGTCCCTGCCCGTGGCAGGGGTTTGGAAATGGATGAGCTTTAAGGTCCCTTCCAACCCAAATCATTCTATAATTCTACAATCTTTAAGCATCAGAGTGATTCAGAGCTGCTTCACTGCGTGAACTACAACTGTGGAGAGTCTTTGAGAGCTGCAAGACAGCCTGGCCTGCTGCAGACAGATCAGAAAAGCCATCAACCACCTTGTGGTGATCCCTAGGTCTCATCTGAGAATGAGTTCCCAGTGACTTCCTCCCGCAGGATTTGAAAAGCCTGGGGAATACAGGGAGGTGGCTCCCTGCTGATGGGTGTCCTCTACCGTGCGGCGGCTGCTCACCAATGAGGAAGTTGGCATACGAGGAGGAGGCACCGTACTGCTTCTCCAGGAACTTGTTGAGGAAGGTGGCCAAACCTGCGATGACCGAGGAGAAGCTGCACTGCGCCAGCACCAGCAGGATGAAGAGGGGGTTGAGGAGCAGCCTGAGAAAGATCTTTGGGAATCCTGCAGGGAACCAGGAGGGAAAATGTATTTCAGCCATATGATCCTCACATCGGTCATTCATACTGTGAAAGAAACACAGACCCTTAGACTGCTCCCAGTGAGTTCATGGGGATGAATTTAGACAAGGGATGTCTAAGGTCATCCTAATGTGGCCCAAACCATGGCCAAAGCGCCCTGAGAAGAGAGGTAGAAAGTAGCTCTGCCCACTGCCTTCCTCCCATGCTTTCCAAACGCACAAGCGTCTGGAGCACTTAGCAGCCACAGTGCAGTTGTTTGTCTGGACCAGGGCCCATACCCTCGGGTGGCGCAAACAGACAAAGCCTCAGGGGTTTTGGCAGAGCTCCGCTGGCTGTGTAAGGGCAGGGTCTGGCTCCTGCTGCTGCCAAACAGTGTTTTCCTGGTGGGACATCGTGTCCCCCTGCCCTTTCAGCAGAGGCAGGCTGACTCCAGGCTCCCCAGGAGCAGCTGTTTATTTGGTCTCTGATTAGCCTTCCCCTTCTAGCAAAGACGGGATCGTCTTTGTTCATCAAAGCCCAATGAGGCAGAGGGAGCTGACAGCTCCAGGATATGACTTCGGTGGATGGAGAGGGAACGAGGGAGGGGCTTTATCTGGAAAGAAACCATCATGGAGCTAAAAAAAGTCATTAGACTGGTCTCATTAGTGACATCCCTACGCAAGCCTGTTCCAGCTATGCATAAACAAACCAGTGTAAGCTGCAGTGCAGTGACCTTCCCAAAGCCAGTGGCTGGTGGTGCCGATAGTCCCATGCCCTCTCCTGGAGCTGTGGGTTAAGCCTAGTGTTTTCATGCCGTTTTAAGAGCCTCAAACCAATTTTCAGAAACAATTGAGGCCCCACTGTCTTACAGCAAGAGGGAGGCTGTGTCCGTCTTCCCATAGTCCTTAGGGAAGGGAATTCTACAGCCCTCCTGGTGCCTGAGCTGGCCTGGGCATCTCCACGGGACATGATGGATGGGCTCAGGGGCTCACAAGAAGCACCCTCAGCTTGAAAACAACAGTGTGGTGATCTCCACCCACCCAGCATGGCCTTAGGCCCTGTTCACCCTCGCCTTTATGAGCCAGTCCTTTACTTTTTATGAACTCTAGCAGAGAGGTTTCTTCAGCCATCCCCTTCTCCATCTTCCTGAGCATGCCGGCCTCCATGTTCGAGTCCTGGGAAGGAGAAAAGAGCAGCAACCCATGGTGAGAAGACATGCATGGGTGGCACCATCTCAGCACGCAGCAAGGCTCAAGAGGAGCAGGGTCTATCCCAGATGCATTTGAACCCCATTAGACCAAAGGGGTGAATTAGCTCAAAAATCACAGAGCTGCAAGGCAAAAGCTTGTCCTGATCCAAGAAGTTTTAAGGACTTGAAAAGCTTTTCTCTCCTTAACCCTGATGAGATAGCTGCAAAAAGTCTAAAAATGAAGGTTGGACACAGGTCAGCTCAAGCCTGGAGAGTCCTCTACCTATACTCATGAAACATTTTGGCTTTGATTTTGACCTTTAAAGAACTGATGATTAAACAATTTCAAAACAGCATAATTTTGAAACTGAACCAGTGGGACTTGGCTTTGAACACACTGAAATGAAACATCTTAATAATTTTGCATCTTTTAAAATGTGGTTTAGTGGGAAATTTGTCCCTTTTCTGCAATTTGTTCCCAAAGGAAAATCCCGTTATCACACACACACGCCAGTTCTCCACCCAGCTTTAAGACAGTGCTGCTCCCGTGTATGCCACACTGCAGGATGCTCTGCTCTGAGCAGGGGCTGTCACTGATGATGGGGCTGGCATTAGGGGTGTGTGACCTTGCCAGGGGTGTTGCAGCCATCACCAGCAGAACCACACTTTTCCCTTGTGAGAATTTGTAACCACATCTGAGAAGGGCTGAATGCTCCCTTTTCTCCCTCCCACCCCTCTCCTCTGGGGACAGGTATTCTGTCCATGGGCACAGCCCAGCCATCAAGATGTTCTGACCCTCTGGAGATGAGGTCTCACCTGTCCTTTCAGCATGTACCGAGGGAAAAAGAAATAAGGAATGGATGTGAGCACCAAGCAGCCTGAGGAGATCAGCAGCCCCAGCCACCAGGCTCCAATCCACCGCTGATCCCCTGGTGTCAGGGCCACAGTAGCTGCAAGACACAAGGACCTACCATAAGACTTTTGCTCCTGAACATCTACAGGTGAAAAGGGCAAACATCCATACACATATGGACTGGTGGGGCACAGAGACCATGTGGGCACAGTCCAAGGGTCTGTGCACTGGCAAGGAAGAGCAAGAGTGTTGGTAGCAAGCCCAGCCTTGGTTGCGTTTTGCCACCTTTTCCCCTGGCCAGATCTTTCTCCACCACCTCCCCATCTGAACCATGCTGAGCCTCCCGAATGACTGTAGGTTGGATTTAGTCAGCACTGCCATATGCTCATGGCACATGCTCAACTCTTGCCCATTGAGCCAGCCAGCAAGGCGGCAACTATGGGAGCCTGATTCCATCCTCTTCTGCCTGGGGCCTATGGTAGGTTTCGACCATGCTGTCTGCCAGGGGTGCTGAGCTGAGACAGTGACCGGGAAAGGGCACAGCTACATTCCTGGAACAAACTGCACTCCCATTGTTCCAGGCTTGGTCACTCTCTGCTTGCAGAGACCAAGGGAAAGACCTGTGCCGGCAGAAGAGTGCTGTTAATGAGCCTGGTTTCCGAGTGGATGAAACTCTAGGCGCCTTCTCCGGAAAAAGGAGGAGAAGGTGAGAGCCGCTCTGTCTCCAGTGCAGACATCCTTCAGCTGGGCCAAGCGATGCTCACGGGAGCTTGACGGATTGCTTGGCTTGGCATGGGGACTGCATCTCCCCATCGTCAGGACGTTAAGGCTGGGAAAGGAACCAGCAGCAGCCTCCGGGTGGGAGCCCTGTGCCAGGGTGCGGCACGAGAGGAGCCCACACCCCACTGAAACAATTGCCCCACTTCCCCAGACAGGACCACTCCACTCTTGGAGCTTGGACGTCATCATGGAGCGACCAGGCAGAGGCTGCTAAATTTGTCTGCTGCTGCAGGGAGTGAGCCAACGCTTTTTGCTGTTTCCTGCCCCAGGTTCATTTATTATTCTTATCAGGCACCGGACAAAAATGTCAGGCAAGCTCTGATCTCTCTAAGGAAACACAGGAAAAAGCCACGCTAATGATGGAGCTGGGGAGAATTCTTTAGTGATTAAGTTACCAGAAATAATAAGCGTGCACCACAGATAAAGAAAATAAGCCTTGTGGTGGGGTTGGCTTGATCCCTCTCTTTGCAGATACTGGTGGGGAGGAGGAGAAGTAGGCTCGAGCCTTCCTGTGCACCCATAGGGCAGTGGTTGCTCTGTGATTGCCTTCTCCATCCCTGAATGCTTCAGATGTCCCTACTCCTCTCCACCACCATGTTGGAGTAGTGTGATACTTCCTCAGCATGGTGGCAGTGGGTAGACCCCAGCAATGCCCACCAATGTTTCAGTGCAGCCCCATGAGTAGGACACTGAAATGTCCCTACCACAGGGCTCTGCTTCAGGACCATCTGTAGCCTTCCTCATGGGGAGATGGAGTGGAGAAATGTACTAGGGCTCTTTCCAGGAGAGCCGTTTTGTGGGTCATGGGGCTGGTGGCTGAAGCTCTCTCTCAGAGTGACCTTCTGGCTCACACAGGACTTTTAGGAGGGCCATCACTCCTTGAGAAATACTCACCAGTGTCAACTCTCCCAATGTCCACAAAGAGCCGCAGCACCACAGATCCCAGCAAGTATCCAAAAGCAGGGCCGAACACAGCAATTGCAAAGAGGATGGCTGAAGAGAGGGAGCAGAGCCAGTGTGAGAAGGGAACAGTAACTTCCATGTGGTTTTTGTCTTCCCATGCGAGGCATGAATGGTGTTACAATATGGAGAGGAGAGAAACCCATCTTTTATCAAGCAGCAGATGATGAGAAGATTCCCATTGCTCAGATACTGAACATGGTGTTTATCCAAAAAGATTAGTAGGAGGGCAGGCAGCTGCATGCAGAACTCCCTCTGCTCTGCTGTAATCAAGGCTTTGCTGATGCACCTCCCATATGAAGACAGGCTGAGAAACTTGGGGCTGTTTAGCCTGGAGAAGAGAAGGCTGCGTGGAGACCTCATAGCAGCCTTCCAGTATCTGAAGGGGGCCTATAGGGGTGCTGGGAAGGGACTCTTCATTAGGGACTGTAGTGACAGGACAAGGGGTAATGGGTTAAAACTTAAACAGGGGAAGTTTAGATTGGATATAAGGAGGAAATTCTTTCCTGTTAGGGTAGTGAGGCACTGGAATAGGTTGTCCAGGGAGGTTGTGAATGCTCCATCCCTGGCAGCGTTCAAGGCCAGGTTGGAAGAGGCCTTGGGTGATATGGTTTAGAGTGAGGTGTCCCTGCCCATGGCAGGGGGGTTGGAACTTGATGATCTTAAGGTCCTTTCCAACCCTAACTATTCTATGATTCTATGATTCTATGATGTGCTATAAGCTGTCAGCTACACCGTGAATATCCATGACTCACTGTGACAAAAGGGGTAGCCACAGAGAGCAGCAGGATGCTTGCATCCTGAGCTCCAGCAGGTAACAAAGACTTTTATCTCCTACAGGAGTCCAAGGAAACAAAGCCTTCTCAAGTCCTTAGATCCAAGCAAAGACTCTTGGTGCAAACTTCAGGGGAGGTGGAAAATGCTGAGAGCAAAAAGGCTGGCAGATCCGCCTTGGTTCAGCTGAACTACCCCTTTCAAAAAACAGATGACATGGACATAACCTAACCTAACCTAACCTGTGAGGTCAAAATATTTCCTTTTGACTTCTTTGGAAGGAAAGGATTTAAGGTTCCTCCCTGATAGAAACTCTCTGCACAACCTTCTTACGATGTTCAAAGAGGGATAGTTTGTTTGAACTGCACTGACCCTTCCTGTGCACTTTGCTGGTCAGGAGCCTTTGAGCATACTGGGTATGAAAGCACCTGATCCCATTGCTGTGCCCCAGCTGTGCATCTGTTTAAAAAGCTTTCTTATTTTTCCCCCAATTGGGCAAGGCAGTGCTTTTGTTTCTATAACATAAACCTATGTATTGAAGGGCAGGGTCATGAGAGAAGGAGTATTTAACCTCATACATAGACAGTAGTGTTCCCTTTCATAGGAAGATGTTAGGACGTAAACCAAAACAAGAGTTATGCAATTCAGACTCAGTAGCCGTATCACCTGACACTGACGTTCCCAGAGCCCTAGCTGTGGAATATCTGCATAAATATATATAAAATATATTTTGAATCATAGAATCATATATATTCATATATATGTATATTAAAATCTATATTTTGTAATTTATATATTTACATATAGTGTACATATATTTATATATAATATTCTATATTACAAAGAACAAACCAGTTCCATTTTCCTTCATCTTCAGGACCTTGCAGGTTTGGGATTCCAAAGTGCACTCAGAGGTCCTGGGAACAGAGACCCCTCCTTGCCTAAGGAAGACAACGATGCTCTGTCCCTCCTTTTGCCAGCCCAGACTACTATACTTGAGCTGAGAGGAGTGAGTACTACCCACATGGAAGCCTTTCTGTAGAGCTCTTAGGTGGAACAGCAGCCCTTTCCAGCATGAGCCTGGAGCACAGTGCGCCTGGGTGGGTCTGGAGACCCTGCCAAGCACTCCAGTGCTTGTCCAAACCCCGTCCTTGGGAGTCCAATTCCAAAGGCTTTCCTTCTCCTTTAGTGCTTACCTTATTTTGGAACATCTGCTTTCGATTCCTAAATCACTCTGATGCCTTTGGCTGCTTTAAAGACATTGTTTGGCACCAGGAAGAATTGGGGTTTTAAGTAACTGATGGACTGTGCTCAAAACTCACATGGGGAGGCCAGCACCAGATGGGTTTTGCCATTCGCAGGGAAAAAAAGATCAATTTAACACGGAAGCCAGCACACATCTGCAGTCAGGAAGTCCTCCTGAGGCTGAGAGTCCCCATAGGCAGGCACTGATCCCATGGCAAAAAATGTCAATTTTGAAGCCTTGATGCAAAAGCTGTGTTAATTGGCTTCTGCAGGCTGTCATATCTCTGCTTAAACCATGATCAATTGATGCTCAGTAAGAGCAGGAGGTGGCCTCTAAGGAGGTTTCCCTTCTATTCTTTACCCCTATGGATGACATGAGTTCTCACAGATGCAACATAGAAGCCCCAGCACATCCATCTCATCTCTTTGCCCTGATTCTTCAGCTTCCTAATACCCACACCACAAATACAACCCGACAGAAAACAGCTGACTATGAAAGGGAGGGGAACACAGCCCAGCCTTCTGATGGGGAGGATCTCATCTGAGTCCCACTGGCTGCTCAGCCCTTGTCTGCAGGTTCCTCTCCAGAAAAGCATTCCCATCTATCACCTCTACATCTTGCCTTTAAGGTCCAGTGGAAACAAAACAATATACAGAAATGGTCCCACTTACCAACATACAGTGGGGAGTTGTTTGCTTCTGCAAAGTCGTCTACATAGGATATCCCAAAGGGCTGGATGGGGACTGTCCCGATTCCAGCCAGCAGCTGTGCAATGACCATCATTGCCCATATGCTGCTGGCCTCCTTCTGGGGATCCTGGGTGGTGTTTGGGCACACAAACTTATTCTCTGCATAGCAGAGTTCAGCTTGGACCTGGCTTTTGTTACCTGCAAGGGAGAAGAGTGAGCATTATAATCCTGAGCACATCCCCTGCCTCCTCCCACAATAAATCCCTAAACACTGGGGATCTCCCAGAGCTGCTGAGTCGGAACACACTGGTGGATTCCAGATGGATTGCTCATTTTATTTAGCAGTTCTTACCACTTTTCCCTTTCTTTGGGAAGGTATCAAGGCCAGTGGGAAAGCCTAAATATCCATGGATGAAAAAAAATTGGTTTTCATGCAAAAAGAAGGCATTATGGAGCAAACAGAGTAAGTCCTGGACTTTTGATGCTATCTCTTGCCACTCCGACTTTTCTCTTTTTCTCTTTATTATTTGTAATTAGCTCATCATTCCTATCACGTTTTTCTTATTAAGGTAATAACTGTGGATTTTCTATGCTTCTGAGCAAACAGACACAAGTTTTTCAGGTGATGGGGGGTTTCCATTGGCATAGTGCAGGAGCACATTCCTAATAGCAGGTCACCATAAAAATCCCTGTGTGAGTCAATTCAAAGCTGCGTTGCCTAAAGGGTTCACATTGCCTGTCAGAAGGAGCCTCATTTTCTAATAAAGATTATACTGCAGCCAAAGCAAGAGCCACAGAAGCCTCACACCAGGTTGTGTGCTGTACAGTGAGGCTGTTCTTTGTTTAGTGAGGACAAACCTAATAACCCATGGCTGATTTTGCTCTTTGGTCCCTAGTGGTACCTGGGCAGGAACAGAAAGGGATGTCCCCTGGGGCAACTTGGCTGCCCTGAGCAGGACATCTTGCCCCTGAATCTCCATTCAGCAGCCCACCTCCTTCCAAAGCAAGGGCCTCACATCTTCATACTGTCCAGACATGTCAGCCTGCTCAAGGCTTCCAGCCAAACTCTAACCACAACTGGAACATCTTCATGGGCTGTAAATACTGGGCCAAGACACCTATGGCTTCAGGCAGGGAGCAGGATGATACCTGCACCTTTGACTTGTTTCCTTTGTGCTAAAAGAAGCCCCCGTCCTGAATCCTGACCAGTTCCTACCCCTGCAAATAAATTTAAGCTGTCATAAAACTTGGCGACTGATGCCTGATCCACTTTCCAAACTGGCTGATTTGGAGAACAGAGACATACGAGGCTGTGTAGCAGAGAGGAGGCTGCAAGCCAGCACAGAGCCGGTCTTCATATTCCTGTGTAAGCACTGGCACACTCAGCCCCACACTGGGCCATCATTTTTAATAACATTTCATGGGGTCTGGGCTTGCACATCAGCCATGGCGGTGCCAGATTCCCCTGAGCTGATGGGGGAGAGCAAAGCCAGAGGATCTCTAACCCTTTGGTGGGAGCAGAGGTTGTCAGGCACCTGTGAACAGCTCTGTCCTCACTGCAGCTGGGGTTTGCATTCTGTTGAGGTACATCAAGGTCAGGACCTAACTAAAGGCAGCAACCAGCCTAAGGCCACCCAGTGGCTCTCTGGCTCAGCCAAGACTCCCTGAGCCCAGAGTATCAAGCTAGGATGCGGTGCATGAGGCTCAAAAGGAGGAGAAAGCATCTTCTAACTCAGAAATGGAAGGCTTCCCCTGCTGACACTGCTGCAACCACTGCCATCCCCCTCAGTGGCACAGGTATGGGGGGAACAACTTGGTGCAGAGCCAGTATGTTTTGGGGTTTTCAGAGGTGGCAATCCCCAAGGAGACTAAGGCTCCTGAGGCATTAGGAGCCTGAAGCATTGGCATCCTGAAGATTTAGGGGCTGATGTTTCTTCGGGAAATCCAAAGCCAGCCTTGTGGCGTGTGAGGCAGGCTCTTCTGCATATTGCATTCTGCACAGAAAATGAGCTGTTGTCATACACACCGGTTTGTTCCCAAAGTCTGCCCAGTTACACTGGTAAAAACCTTCTTAGGACAGATCATAAGGCTTACTGGCTAGACAGAACAGGCCCTGGGGACTGGAGATCTTAATTCTGCTCTATCACCCACATACTGCTCAGCAGCATGGAGACGACCTCACTTCTCATACTGCAGCACCTCTGTGACTGATCTGCAGTGCCACAGCTATTAACTTCTTGAGCTATCCGAACGAGACTGATATGGCAAGAACTGTTTGGGTATGAATCCAACTCAGCATTCAGAAAAGCACAAAGCCTCAGTAGCAAGGTACTACAGAGCCCTTCAGGAAATGGAACAGTGCCCCAAAAGAACCAGAAGTGAAATTATTTGTCCACAGTCACACAGGGCATCAGCAGCAGAACCAGCATCTCCTGCACCCCAGGGTTTCAGGGTATCCCAAATCCACTGCCCCATCAGCAGCACTCTCTACTCACAGCTGTTTTCACACTCTCTCCCTGTCTGTTATTTTTTGATAGTTAAATGACATTCCATCATTAATAACAGTGCTGTCATCATGTCCCTTCCCTGGCAGTGCTCAAGGCCGGGTTGGATGGGGCTTTGAGCAGCCTGAAGAGCGAATCCTGCCTGCTGAACTTGAAACACTGACTGCTCCCTCTGGAGGCCTCCAGGAGCCTCTATGGGGAATTTAAGTACATTACCATGACTACAACTCTCTTCACCTGAAACAACAGCTGGAACACGTGCCCAGATGAGGCAAAAGGGATCCCAAATGCAGTTACTGAATTCAGAAGGAGTTGCAAAGCCATGCTGAAGTCAGCCATGAAATAGCAAATCTCTGCCCTAAGTCTTTCCCTCCAAACCCTGTGTGGATACAACCCCTCTTTTTGGGTAGGCACAGGTAACCCAGCCCAGGACAGCCGGAGATGGATTTGTGCTAGGACAGCTGATGGTGATAAGGGGAAGGCACTTACCGATGCTGAGTGTGGTGTATTCATAGGGGCCTGATAGGAAGTGGGGCAGGGTAACCAGGAATGCTCCCAGCGCCAGCAGCAGCCCCCCAGCACCAATCACCCGCGGGCGATGAACTCGGCTGCCAAAGTAGCTGACGAAGATGATGAGGACCACATTGCCAATCTGGAGCGGGCACAGTGAAACAGGGGGGATGTCAGAAGGCATCGTGGAGGAGTTCAAGACCCTATAACTGGTTCCCCATTGCTGTGTAAGAGCTCTCTTACCATGTGGTGTTTGACCCCCACAAGAGCATACCCACCCCGTACACTCACAGCAAGTCAGTGCTTGCTTCTCATCAGAAGCCAGCGGGCCAGCTCTTCAGCTTCTGTCACCTGTGCGCACCCTTTGTTGTCATTGACAGTCATCCACACATCCTCCCTGTGATCTGGTTGGGGCTTTTTCAGCACCCACACCTGCCCTCCCCCCATAGAGTGTGCCATAAACTACTAATTCCCCCAAACAGTCAGAAATGAAGCGTATTGCCTCTATTCCCATGACTCTAAACGGACACAAGTGAAGTCCAGCTCATTGCAAATGTTTGTAACTCTGGACATTTTCAACTGCAGATATGATCAGCTAAAAAGCTATGAAAACATGCAGCTTACTCAGGCAAGTGGACGAACAGCATAAAATGACCATTACATACCATAGACAGCTTGGGATAAGCTGGACGTTATTGTAACCTCGACATGTATGGCTAAGAATACTTTCAATATATGTTTACATAGGCTCCCTTGTTTGTCTGTCTGTGATTCCTGGTGCTGAAATTGCTGTACTCATCAAGCAAAAAGACTGTGGCCCTGGACAGGCAGAGCAGCTCACACAGAGCTGGAGTAAGGCACAGGAATTGCTCTTATAAAGCAAACAAATCAAGATGTATCTGTTGTCTGCAAGCTGTTATTCTTTAACAGATGGCATATGTCCTATTCCAGCCATTTTCCCTTTATATTCTTACAGTAACAGACTATTTTACATGATGTTTGCTCTGGTATTACTTCTCCAGGGATTAATTCCTGTAAGTATATGTAAGTTTTCTAGTGGATAAGGAGCACATGGGTTGCAGCTTTGAGACACTCTGCAGAGCTTAATTATGTCAGTTCATCATTAGCAATGTTACAACTGTCCATACTGGGTGTCTCTCTTTGTATGGTTTAGACCTAGTCACAATCACTGGGAAATCCTTCACTGTTCTCACTAGGCTTTGAACCAGATGTAGGTAATGGTTGTGGAAAGACCTGGGCATCTACTTCCCCAAGGACCTGGGAGGATTCCCAGTGGCCAGCCTCTTGCTGGAGGATCCCATGTGAAAAGACCAGCTGAATGGAAGATGAGCTGCCCACAAGCACTTCTTTCTCTGTGCCATTGCAAGAAAGGCTCTGCCAGCAAGTCCTTTCCTAGTTGGCCTTAAAGAGCTACCAGAAAGGATAGAGCTCATGACAAAGTGAACTAGAAAACCTATTCAAGAGGAGTAAGTGATTAGAAAGTGCTCATGAGAAAATACTCAGCCAGCTCAGCAATGTGCCAGTGAAAGTCAGTCCTTTGCCATAAGGCCATCAGGACCTGGGAGCACTGGAGAAAAAGGCTAGATCTTGGAGAGACTGCTGGACCAGGTCTCCTTTTAGAGAAAGCTTGGAATGATTTGGGCCAGGTTCATTCCTAAAGCCAATGAGAAACCTATGAAAACTGATACTTCCACTTGAAATTGCTCATAGAGTTGTGTGGATACTACTCACGATAAAACGCTCTTCACAAAAGCTGTAAGAACTGTAATGAACGGAGAAGAATCACATTGCATGTATTCTGCCTCCCAGTCTTGTCTCTGCTGGAGATGGATGTGAAATGGTCTCCTCTGAAGCAACCTGCTCTCTGCTGCCATTCTCTAAGGCCATGTTCTCACCACTTAACCCTATGCTCAACCTCGCACCATATGGTACAGTAGAAGTGAAGTGTGAAGATGTGTCCAAGTGCACAGCAGTAGCTGCTTCATCCAGAACATGTAGGCATAAGCCAAGGCATGAACAACCCTGAGACTCTATTCTGGGAAGGTACCTCCCAACATGTATTGGCCACCCCTCAGGACCCCCACATAAGCTTCTCACTCAGTTACCTCATGCAGGCTAGAGATGAAACCTGAAGAGAGACTGGAGAGCCCAAAGCGCTTCTCGATGGTGGTGAGGCTGCTCTTGAAGTTGGCACTGTAGAGGAGCTGGGAGAGCTGGAGAAGCCCATGGCACAGCACAAACACCTGCGGGCAAAGGGAAGTCCCATCCCAGTTAGTACACAGATAGTGCCCCACTGGTGTGTAACTGCTGGTGACCATGTCCCATGCAAGGGATTTGACAGTCATGCACATGTGGACTGAAGCTGACCAAAATGGCTGCATCTCTGCCATGCAACAGATCTACTTGCAGGGCTCAGTCTCTGGTTAACTTCACTTTGCAAAACGAGTGATGCAGTGTTCAGAAGACAGGACAACAAGTTCTGGTTTTGCTTTCCTCTGGTTTACTGCTATTAACATTCACTGGTAGTTGCACTGTGGCAACTGTTGTGCAACCCTCAAGAGCCCTAGGAGGACCCATTGTACTGCTCTGCGGTGTCCCCAGAGCCTTCTCTTCTCCAGGCTGAACAAGCCCAGCTCTCTCAGCCTGTCCCCATGGCAGAGGAGAGCATCTTTGTGGCCTCTGGACTCGTCCCAACAGCTTCATGTCCCTCCTGTGTTGTACAAAGATAAATGAGACAGGCTTGACTTTGCCTCAACTCAGTTTGTGATCCATGTTAGAGACAAGCCTGCGGCTGCTGTGCAACAGCTGAAAGGGAGCTGTACTGGTTTAGACTACCTGTGATCCAGTATTTCCAGTTGGTCCCTTGGATCCACTCAGCTGTAAAGCCAATTAACAGAACCTCCTCCAAGGTGTGTTGCAAGATTAAGCTGAACAGGGGCTTTAAAAGCCCCAGAGGGAAAGCATGAAGTATGCACAATGCAGCCTCACTACTGGAAAACCTCTGTAGTAGTCTAAATACAGCATCTTTCCCTTGAGAGAGGCTGTGAGCTGGGCCAGAACGCGAGCTGGAGGGAGGCACAGCCTCCCTGGGGCAGAGGAAAGAATACAGAGTTTACAGGGCAGGGCAGGAGAGTGGTCGAAAGAGCTCTGGTGGCCTGGGAGAGGAAAGTGCTCTCAGCCAGGGATGCAAGAGTCAGTTCACAAGTGTCTTTTGATCTATATTTAGCCAGAACAGTTCTCCTTTATTTTTCTTGGAATGGAAAGCATCCACATGGTGCCAAAGGTATTTTAAAGTCACTTTAAAAAAAAAAAAGAAAGGGGGGGGTAGAAGGTCTTTTAATTTAAATCTACAGGAAATCAAATATTTGCTGAATACCGGAAGCCTGTCCCACAAAGATAACGGTGGGAAGCCCAAGATGATGAATGTGGGATCAAAGGTACTGCAGGGCTGACAAATTCCTTATGTCCTTGGCTAGGAGAGCAGCAATCTTCCGTATTAGTATTTATGTGAAACAGTGGTAGTGCTCAGAGCCATGACCCATTGTATGGAAAAAAATCCTCAACCCAGAATAAGAACTAAATGGTCCATCCAATACAAGGGATACAAATGATGTAGGTGGGTGAAGTGGCTTTTTGGAGAGTAGAGAGGATGCAGAACCAGCTCCAGCAATAGCAAGAGAATTTGGTTCAAAGATAGGGAAGAAGAGAGCTTATGGGAAGCTTCTCCAGTAAGGCAGGATACCACCAGGCAAAAGACACAGACGGGTATCTAAAAGCATAAGAGATGGGAGAGATGCTGACAGACAGTCAGAGAGAGGAGGATGGAGACGAAGGAGCAAATGGAGCCCTGATAGTGTGAGGGCAGGCTGGGAACAACTTGGAGACAAGTTGGAGATAGGATAGCATCAGGCAGGCATCTGCCACCACAGCAGCTGAGCAGGAGAGGACAAAGTCTCAGGCTGGGACTTTGCCCAAATATAAAGCCGCAGAGCAATGACGTGGAGTGTAACATGGGAAACTCTCCCAGGCTGGGACAAAGTGGAAGTGAAACATCTGAGAGTAAACTCTTGAAGCAGAATGACCTCTACACCCTCCAGCTATCGACTCCTACATAAAAAATACCCATCCTAGCATGTAATCCTACAGGTAAAAACTGGATCCACCACCTTCTCCTTTTATCCCGACCTGGGATCACCATGTGATTAGTCCAGCCAGACTGTATCTCTGGCCAGACCCTATTTAAGTCATTCAAATAAAGAGGCACTAGCTAAACAGTGGAGGACCAGGACACCAGAGATGCAGAGCAGCTGGAGGAAGAGTTCTCCCATTATGAGGCATTAGCTGGAGAAGCAAAGCTATTTACCAATGGGGAGGGAAGGAGCGGATCACTGAGACTGAATTTAGTGCAGCAAATGGCAGCTGAATCCCAGGGCAGATGGGGACACTTTAAGTGTTGGGGGGAGAGGATGCTGGGAGGGAAGAAAGATGAGGAGAAGCAGCCTGACTCCCTGAAATGCTGGTGTTGGCAGGGGTTGGGGAGAAGGTAAAGGCATCAAAGGAGCATGGGGAACCAGCACTGTCTGTGCTTTATGAGAGGATGGAGGGCAAGAGATGAGAGGGACAAGCTGTGGTGAAAGGAGCCAGGAGATGGCCTAGTGATATGCATTGGTGATAACCTGGGGATGGACAAAACAGGGCCATGGATTCCAGAATGCCTGGGAGCAAACTGGGGCTGCCTGCTGTAAGGGAGGCATGGTGAGAGAAACAGCTGGAGAGCAGTGATGTGGGGAGAGAAAGACTTTGGGGGATGACTTTACTGCAGGACTGTGCGACTGGAGCTTGGCTTTTCCACATGTACTTCGACTGTCTGCAGGTGAGAGATGTGCCTGACCTCAGACTTCCCCTGCATTCAGCAGATCCGACTCTAATTAAAATACCAATAGCCCAAACCTTGGAGGCTTCCAAATAGCTGGGAGAGGGGCTTACTTGGAGGCCGCCCCAAAAGGAGCCCCTGTGTTCATGCTGGCCACCCACAGCCTGGTGGTTCATGGAAAGCAGCACCGACCTGGTCTGTTCCAGCTGCAGAGAGCACCAGATGGGCTGCGCTGGCTGCATGCACTCACTGAGCAACACCAGGAGGGGATGGAGCTGCTATCATCCATCTTCCATAACACTTAACGAAGAAGGGGTTTTTAAACAAGAGCCAAGCTCATGTGAAGAGAGGTTTTGCTGATGCAAAGCCAACATAACTGCACTGAACACGAAGGTTAAGGAGTCAGGGACGCTCCCACAAACACAAAGTGCTGACCCTTCAGAGCAGATGCCCCCACCAGACCCTGATGTGTTTTTGGAGCTGCAGGCAATCAGCAATCACAGGAAGCAGCACAGAGAGGCCAAAGGCATGCACCCACATGCACCCACACACACATACAAAATCCCCTCTTAATCATCCCCACGTTTCCTTCAGAGTGCTTGACCAATCCTGACTCCAGGCTGTTTATACAAGACACTTGACTCCTTTCCAAGATGTACTTCATTTAAAAGGGAAGCAAACACAGGGGGGAAGGTCCCTCACAGACACACAGTTCATGGGGCACCTCCCACATCAATGCTTTTTTATAAGAAGGAGAGGGGACTGTCCCCTCCAGTCTGGACAACACTCCTCAGAGTTCAAAGCAGGGATTTGGCAGCTGTTCAGTGAATCCCAACCAAAACCTCCTCCAGAGGAGACATGTTCAACAAGTACTCGACCTGGTGGGGTTAAAGGGGGTGCAGGCTGGGCTGCCAGCAGCCCCCAGGTATGAGGATGCAGCAACAAGGCTGAGGTCCAACACTGACACCAAGGCATCCCTGTAAGATGCCGGGTATGGCCACAGTGGCTGGTGTGCACATGGGAGATGTCTGAGATATTGTTTCAGCCCTTGCATTTGCCTCAAAGACCCACTTGCACCTTTTGCACTTCCCTCAAGCTATCAGGGAATAAAGTAAGGCTCTGGGAGGAGAAAGGGGTCTCCCAGCCTTGTGCTGAACCTATAAAGCAGAAAAGGGTGAGGAAGCCAGAGCCAGGGGGTAAATCATCTTTGAGGTGGGTGTTCTTGGGATCAGAAGCTTGTAGGGTCAGAGAGAGGTTGCTGCTCCGGGGGCTGGATGTGTGCACTAGGAGGAGGCACTGTTGCTGGCAGTGCTGGTAGGCAGCAGGTACTTGCACTACCCCATGTCATATACTGGGGCAAGTGAGCTGTATTCCCTTATCTTGTGGCTCTCTCTTTCCCTATTGCTTACTTAAGATAATGCACTGTCAACACTGTCACTGGCCTTACCAAACAAGTACACAGAGACTGGACTTAAGAAAAGTCTATTCTGAAAGGTGCGCTGTTTCAAAAGAGGGTTTTAGGGGGGCATGCTGGAGGAGCATCCCTTGGTCACTGGGTCAGCCAGTAAAATGCTTAGCAAGTAGGGTTAAATAAGAAAGAAACCCACAAAACAAACAAGAAATGCTTGATAACCCCAGCATGCATGTGCTGGCCACGGGTCAGAACCAAGGCCAGGTAAAAGAAATCAGGTTTGTTTTTATTTCAAAGCAGTGAATTGCCTCTATGGAGCCTCCAGGAGACTCCTCCAGGACCTAGGAGACTCCTCTAGGTGGGAGCCTGGCTTTGCTTTGCAGGAACCAGGGGCTTGGGAAGATGCTACTATGCGTGATATGATCACTTTCCCTTCCTCTCTGCCACCTGGAGGAGTGACTTAAGGGTTAACTCCTTGCTCTGCTTCCACAGCTTCATGCTGAGGTGATGGCACTCATGTCCAAAGTCATCCCTACCTTTTTTTTCAATGTCTTCTACTTGGCAGCCCTGCTTGGAGATAGAGACAGTGAAAATATTGATGGTGCTGCTTACCTTTGAGGAGAAAGCACTGGCAGCTCCTGGCTCTGGCTTTCATGTACATGCATCTGTGTGTGCCCAACAGCCTTCCCATAGCAACACCACTGCTATGATGGATGGAAAGGCAGGGATGGAAAGAGACAGGGCTTAATTCCTGGAGTTCTTAATTAAACCTGCAGTCTTGCATCCAGCTGTGGGTGCAACAACCAGTGGAAGGTGTCCTTGCCCATGGCAGGGGCTTGGAACTGGATGAGCTTTAAGGCCCTTTCAAACCCAAACCAGTCTGTGACTTTATGAGTAATTCATTAGATGGACACAAGAACTGCCTGGAGAGCTGTAAAGAGAAGTGGAGATCCTCACAG